ACGCCTGTCACGCGGGAGAACCCTAAAACCAAGACTGCCCAAATTGCAGAATGCCCAGTCACGTTGCCAATCGCCGGAGGCAAGGCCACAGACACCATCCATGCGTCCATACATGCATACCCACCAAACCAAACCAAACTGTTACTTCTGTAATAACTAATAATGACAACAATAGTACAATACTAACTTGAGAATTAGCTTAACTATTAAAATTTTGACAATAGTACAATACTAACCTGAGAATTAGCTTAACTATTAAAATTTTGAGTTTTTTTTAATAATTACAGGTTTGAGTTTTCTTAAAACCAATAAATATTTATATATATATTAATTTTAAAATTAAATGAGATGCACATGAACTAGCCTTAAAACTTATGTTAATAGTAATTAAAAAAACAACAACAATACTATCTCATGTATATCTACACATTTTTTCCTGTTTCGAATGAAGGGTTCGAAGGAGACCAAAGCACCTCTGGACCCCACCTTCCCATTACCATACCCTCCACTGTTGTTCTCTGCAATATGAAGAGAGGGGGGAGAAAGAAGAAGATACAGTTAATGCCCTCGCTGATGCACGCTCTTTTTAATTAATGGGTATTTGTGTCCTCTTACAGACATGATCATCTCGTTGAGCATTTGTTTTAATTCATGATGATGCTCAAAGTGTTGACTTCTGTACCTCTCAAGGTCCTAAACAATGGCATTATCAAAACTATATATCTGGCGCCTAACTATAATTGTTTCTGATCCAGTCAATTCTAGCAAGTTTCTTCCCCCTTCTAGGGATGGTGGTAGGGTTGATGGACGGAAAGCTATGGTGTCATGTTTATTGAGATGACTCGGTTTCTATTGAATTGAGTTGGTATAACTTATTTTTCTCAGGAAGTTCATTTGAATATAAGATTCTTATCAAAATTATAGAAGAAAACAACAATATTAATGTAGAAAAAGAGACAAATACTACTATAATTCAAGTTTTACTATAATTTTATATTTCTTTGTGGGTGGAGGAACGTTTTTATCTTTTTTTTTGCTCTTATTTGTGTACTCTGATTTTTTTGGTTCTTTCATATATCATGTTAACATTTTAAGAAATTAAAAATATAATTCAGACAAATAAAAAAAATATACGTAAAACAAGAAACATAAGGATTATGATTATGGTGCATATACATCTATAAATTCAAATAGATTATAAAATTATAAATTGAACTCTCCTGTATAATTCTTGTATGGAATATCCCTCCAATTGGATATTATTTTTTATTTACAGAATTTTACCCCATGCCCACCTCCTCGGAGACACTTGTGGATGTAAGGCTCTACTAAAAGAAGTGTTTTTGACAGCCCTACAATATCCTTAAATTTTTCCATAGCCTTCTATTAATGTCTGTTAATAATTGACGTTCAATGGCTCTATTTCAAGCAACAATATGGTGCCTTTTTGAGGTAATTTCAATAGATAACCTTGAGACTCCTTTTTTTTTTTTTGGGAGAAAGTAATAAAATATCACTCATTAATTATAAATCATATTCAATCTTTTAAAAATAATAAAAATATTTTTTTATATAGATTTTATATTTAACTAACAAATTCAACGTTATAATTCATAAATCAAGAGATTGAAAATAATAAAAATATTTTTTTATATAGATTTTATATTTAACTAACAAATTCAACGTTATAATTCATAAATCAAGAGCTTGAACTTGGTCTAGATCTAGACCAGGTTTGATTTTAAACTGAGTTAGAAGTTGAGTGATTAAATTTAATAATTTAGTTAGTTAACTTATGATTTAATTGACTCGGTTAAATCTAGGTGAGATTATACATAAATAATATTAAAAAAATTTAAAATAAATTTTTATATTTTTTAATTCTAATAAAATTATTTTGATATAAATTCAAATTAAATTTATATATTAATTTGGTATAATTAATCCGCTAATTTACAACTTAAATTTCATATCGAGTTAAACTTTAAGTTGGTATAGTAACTATGTTTACACAAACCACTTAAAATCATATTATTTTTTAAAACCTTCTCTCTCGTGTTTTTTTTTTTTTATTCTTGTATTTATCTTTTCTTTATTAAATAAATATCGGTAGTCACACTTTAATACCATGAAATTTGTTGAGGCCCATGAAATGTCTAGCACGCGCTATCCACAGAAGCAGGCGCATGGCAAAGTCATAGAAAATGCACGATTCCTATAATGCCCTGAGAAAAGGGACTGGACAAGACGTACGGTTTATTCCTTGTGTAAAAGACTGCAAAAAACACTTTAATTCTGTTTTTTTTTTTACTTCTTTATTTCTGATTATTTAATCTGTTTATCCATTATCCAAAGTTTTTTTTTACAATATCTCATAAATAAAAAATAAAATATTTTACAGTTTGTTGGAAAAAGATACTTCTTCTGTTGCCTAACGAGAGCATTGCTTGTACTTCTTTAAAATCTAATGGTGGTTGGTTTTTTTTTTTGTTTTTTCAAGTGGATGTTTGGTAATATTATTTTATTTTATTTTTATTATAAATTAAAATTATTTTTTTATAATTTTTATATTAAAAATATCTTTTTTAAAATAATAATAAATCTTTGTTTTTTCAAGTGAATTTTTGGTCATATTATTTAATTTTTTTTTTATTATAAATTAAAATTAACTTTTCATAATTTTGATATTAAAAATATTTTTTAAATAATAATAATAATAAAATATTATTTTGATACATTTTTAAATTTAAAATACTTTAAAAAAATAATTTTAACCACATTTTCAAACAAACATTAAAACTATTGGTTTTGTTTTCTTTTTTTAAATAAATAAAGAACCGTCACTTCATGATCACCTTGTTCAATTCTTGTCTTACGATAGGATGATATTAATTTAAGTTGTTATTTATTTGATTAATGTGTCATGAAGTTCTTTTTTTTCTTTTTACGTACTAGATGCTGATTTTCTTACATGGTGGTCTTGCGAAGTAAGGGAGGTAAGCACTTGGATTCGAATAAAAAACGCTACTGAAATTTGAAATCAATCCACTGGTCATCTGATTATTGCCGAAGAAAACATACAAGGCGACAAAGGAAGATGCTTGTTCATTCACTTCTAAGCCAATTTACCCCAGGTTATCATTGCTGTCGAGAGAACCTAACTAATCTATATATGATCGCTAATTATAGATAACATGCATAACGAGGTTGGTCTCCTGATTTCTTCCAACAGAGATAACATCCACGCATGATCATTTGACTAACTAAGATTATGTAAATGGGAAGGTAGAGTAGACAGGCACAAGCGTTAATTCTCTTAAATATATCCTTAATTACACTAATTGTATGGTTTGAATTATCATTATATCGCCAGCTGCAGGCAGCTTCCAGGCCTTTTTCAAGCGGAGCTATCATTGTATGGCAGCCCCATGCACCTTCAAGCAAAAGACAAATCTTGTGCTTACATCCATACAATCTCGTCATCAATAAAAGATCAGTTGATTAATTGACAACACATTAATCTTAGAAAATGCCCAGCCAGTTATGAACAACGTCGTAAAAAGATGTTGGATGGAGGTATTCCAAAGTCGAGCTAGATCTAGCTGAAAAATAAATTAAAATACTGAAAAGTTGGAGGATAGATGATTCTGCTTGGAGCTTTGTCGTTATCATGGGAAATACTGTAGCAACATTAATGATACAAAGCAAGTTAATAAATAGTCATCATGGTAAAGCCTTAAGCAAAGTCAAGAAACCAGCACAAAAGAGCAACCACCGTTTTAGTATGCTCGATGCTGTGCAAAGCTCAATTAATGACCAGAAGAATGTTGGACAGCCACCACTTTAGTTTATTAAATTAATGGACATTATGGGCACTTCAAAGAGTTTGAAACATCCCCGCCAAGTTCTGTTGAAGACTTGCTTCCCAGAATGTGCGGGTGATAAAAGACTGTTTCTGACAGGTGACAAGACACAAGTCATGTACCTTGGTCGTGCATCCAGTGTACATTCAGCAAGAGAATTATACATACTTACATGGAGCCTCTGATCGAGAAGTGCAGTTGAATGAATGGCTGCGTCGTGGTGGGTTTCAATAGGTTGTCAATTGTCATTAAGGATTTCATCTATAATTATATTTAATTTAAATTTTAATATTTTAAAAATTATAGATCCGACTCATTAAAAAAAAATAGACTCGAATAAATTGAATATACTGCGTTGAGCTAAATATTTTATTAATATTACAGATGTCCGGCGGGGATTGAGTGTATAAATTCCGTCATTCATTGAAGATTCTAAAAAATAAATATCCTTCTGTCTTCCATTACGATGGATATTGCAATGTGTTTTATGGTATCTCAAGCATATAATTAGCACTGACCATAAAAAAAATGATATTTTAAAACATGAGATAAAAAATGATATATAAACAAAATTGAAGAGATATAAGAAAAAAATATCTATACTAAATATTAGAGTTACTTACTAATTAAATAAGTTATACATACGGCGGGGTTGAGTTGGGTGGTTTTTAAAAATTTCAATTTACATTCGATCTATCATATTTATTTATTTGGTTTTTTAAAATATTATTATTTATGATATTTATATTAACCAACCGGGTCAAGTGAAATAATATAAATATTAGATATTACTTGGTTTTCATAAACACCCCTGCCTAAAGTTATATTATACAACAGAAGGCTCGAGTCACCTTACTTGTCGGAGCCCCAAGCAGGGAAGAGTGGATAGTTAATAGTTTTAATTTAAGAAGAATATGGTGGGAAATTGAAATGACTTTCTTGGATCCTGAGAGGGACGATTGTAACAGTGACTCATAATTTCGATCACATTATTAAGCAAAGAAAAAGGGAACACAGAATCATTAAAGGGGGGAGCGAAAGAAAGGGAAAAGAAATCCAAGAAAACCTAAAGTATACGAGAAAAAATACAGGTATTTCACAAGAACAGGTGAGGTGAGAAAAAGAAATCAAAGAGAGATAAAAAGAAAGAAATGGAAGTCAAGAGAGTAAGGGGGCCACGTATCATAATCATATAGTTACAGTAGCAAGTTGTTTCCCTATTTCTCTTTGTTTCTTTCATATACCCACCCACCATCGGCATTCGGCACCAAGAAAACCCACTGAAGCTGCTCAGCAAAACAATCATGATGAAACACCCTCTGCAGCCAGCACTCTCAAAAAGCATAATCATCTCTCTCTGTCAAAACCTTCCTTCCCTTAAATTTACCTCTCTTAACTCCACACTTCTCTCAACCAGATTTCTCACTTCCCCACAACCATGAAACTTCCTTTTCTTTCCTTTCTAATTACGTTCTCCTTCTTCTTCTACCTGTTCGAAACTTCTCTTCTAGTCTTCTCTGCTTCGACTCCCCCTCTCCCTCTCCCTCTCCACTCTCTTCTCTCCATAAAGACCTCCCTCAAAGACCCTCTCAACACTTTCCATGACTGGAACTTGTCCAAGGCTTCAATCCAAGACCCAGTTTGGTGTTCATGGTCTGGCGTCGAGTGCAACCCAACAACTTCTCAAATCACATCACTTGATCTCTCCCGCCGCAATCTTTCTGGTGTTATTCCAGCTGAAATTAGATACTTAACCAGATTAGTTCACCTCAATTTGAGTGGAAATGCATTTGATGGGCTTCTTTCACCTCTCATATTTGAACTAAGTGACCTCAGGATTCTTGACATCAGCCACAACAACTTCAATTCAGAATTCCCACCTGGGATTTCCAAGCTCAAGTTTTTGAGAGTCTTCAATGCCTACAGCAACAGCTTTACAGGTCCATTGCCGAAAGAATTTGCCAAGCTGCGCTTCTTGGAGGAGCTCAACCTTGGTGGAAGCTACTTCAAGGGAGAAATTCCAAGGAGTTATGGAAGCTTCCTGAAATTGAAGTACCTGGACTTAGCTGGAAATGAACTGGAAGGACCATTGCCACCCGATTTAGGATTCTTGATCCAGCTCGAGCACCTGGAGCTTGGTTACAATGAACTCCTATCAGGCAATGTACCAGAAGAATTTGCGTTGTTGACTAATCTCCAGTACCTAGATATCTCACAGTGTAATCTATCAGGCAATCTCCCACCACAACTCGGAAATCTTACCAAACTCGAGAACTTACTCCTTTTCAAGAACCAGTTTACTGGTGAAATTCCGGTGAGCTACACCAATTTGAAAGCTCTGAAAGCACTTGACTTATCCGATAATCAGCTTTCAGGAACAATTCCAGAGGGATTATCTTCCTTGAAAGAGCTAACCAGGTTGAGTTTGCTGAAAAATGAACTCACCGGCGAGATACCACCGGGAATTGGCGAGCTACCATATCTTGACACGTTAGCTCTCTGGAACAACAACCTGACGGGAATCCTCCCGCAAAACCTTGGTTCCAATGGGAATCTACTGTGGGTCGACGTCTCAAATAACTCGCTCTCAGGCCCAATTCCTCCAAATATTTGCCAAGGAAACAAGCTTTACAAGCTCATTCTGTTCTCCAACAAATTTTTTGGTAATTTACCAGATTCTCTAGCAAACTGCACCTCTTTATCCAGGTTCCGAATCCAAGACAACCAACTCAACGGCTCTATCCCTTACGGATTCGGCATCTTGTCTAATCTTTCCTTCGTGGATTTAAGCAAGAATAACTTCACAGGTGAAATTCCTGATGATCTTGGCAATTCCCAAGAGCTTCATTTCTTGAACATTTCTGAAAACTACTTCAACACTGCTTTACCGAACAACATTTGGAGCGCGCCGAATCTTCAGATTTTTTCCGCCAGCTCATGCAAGCTCAAGAGCAAAATACCAGATTTCATCGGATGCAGCAATCTGTACAAGATAGAATTGCAAGAGAATTTGTTAGATGGCAGCATTCCATTGGATATTGGTCATTGTGAGAGGCTTCTTTCTCTTAATTTAAGCAGCAATTCTCTTACTGGTATTATTCCGTGGGAGATTTCTACACTTCCTGTCATCGCTGATGTCGATTTGTCCCGTAATTTACTCACTGGTTCCATTCCTTCAAATTTTGCCAATTGCTCGACTTTAGAGAGTTTTAATGTGTCCTACAATTCGTTAACGGGTCCAATCCCTGCGTCCGGTACAATTTTCCCAAATTTGCATCCCTCCTCCTTTTCGGGCAATTTAGGCTTATGCGGTGGGGTTCTGCCGAAGCCGTGCGCTGCGGACACATTGGGGGCTGGAGAAATGGAGGTCCGCCATAAACAGCAGCCCAAAAGGACTGCTGGGGCTATAGTTTGGATTATGGCAGCTGCTTTTGGTATTGGCCTGTTTCTGCTTGTGGCTGGGACAAGGTGTTTCAATGCGAATTACAGCCGTAGATACAGTGACGATCGAGAGATCGGACCGTGGAAATTAACCGCCTTTCAACGGTTGAATTTCACGGCTGATGACGTGTTTGAGTGTTTATCAATGTCTGATAAGATTTTAGGGATGGGGTCAACGGGGACGGTCTACAAGGCCGAGATGCCAGGTGGCGAGATCATAGCAGTGAAAAAGTTGTGGGGTAAGCACAAGGAAAATATCAGACGGAGGAGAGGGGTGTTAGCTGAGGTGGATGTTTTAGGTAATGTGAGGCATAGGAACATAGTGAGATTGTTGGGATGCTGCAGCAACAGGGAGTGCACAATGTTGCTGTACGAGTACATGCCCAACGGGAATTTAGAGGATTTGTTGCATGGGAAGAACAAGGGAGAGAATTTGGTGGCTGATTGGTTTACGAGGTACAAGATTGCACTGGGTGTGGCACAGGGGATTTGTTATTTGCATCATGATTGTGATCCTGTGATTGTGCACCGTGATCTTAAGCCTAGCAATATATTATTGGACAGTGAGATGGAGGCTAGAGTGGCAGATTTTGGGGTGGCAAAGTTGATCCAAAGTGACGAGTCCATGTCTGTCATTGCTGGGTCTTATGGCTACATTGCACCAGGTATGGTCCTGTCTCTGTTCCTCTTTATTTTTTCTAATGGTACAATTTATGCTAGTTTGGAATTTGCTAGTGTCAAATGCATTTCATTTCTAAGAGAAACGTAAAACATGGGAACCGATCCTTATATTAAGAACTTGGAATTTAATTGTTAATAGTCAGTTTCTGTAAGAATTTACAGTCTGTAGTTCGGCACTGCAGCAGCTCTGTCCCTTTATTTCGTTTCCAGAAACAACTTGATTAAGTTATGTTGGTATAACAAAGAAAACAAAAGAGGAAAGGAAAATGCGTTGCAAGGGTACTAGATTTATGAGGAGGACGGAAAGTATAGAAATTCTGTTTTCTTTCCAGGAGAATGGTGATCTTCAACGTAATATTGCTTGCCTACTTTTCTTTACTTGAGAGTCCAAGTCTGGCTTGTTTACAAACAGTACCGGACAGAAGCTGGTTACGTTTAAAGTTCTAGGAGACCCTTTGTCTTTCTCTGTTTAGTTCGTTTTGTTGGTCTAAGATATGGGGGTGTCAAATCTTGAAACAGAACACGCGAATTGAAGATAATGCCGCATTAAAAAAGAAAAACACTATTCTGTGGTGTTATTTTCTTGATTATTGCGGTATGAAAGACATCCATACATATTTGATTTTGCAATTGCAAGAGGAGGAGTGGATAGTACTACAGTACAGAGTGCTGTGACGGGGCGGGGCGGGGCTGATGCCATTCCTTCTATTGGCGCCGCGAATTTGGAACTGTTTGAAACCTTTAAGTGCATGGCGCACTCACTGCTGCGCGTGAACCCTCTACTTTTTTTTTTGTTTTTTTTGGGGGGGTGGATTTACCATATACAGTTGGACCCCACTCTTTTTTTTTTTGTTTTTTTTTGGGGGGTTGGATTTACCATATACAGTTGGACCCCACAAAGAAATTCTTTTAGATCCTTTCATTCATTGTAGTTTTTGACTTCTTGATGCACTAGGCATAATTTCTTTAGTGTTTTGATTGAATTGGGTGGCTGATATAGTGCTTTCTTCTCTCTTTTGCGCAGAGTATGCATACACACTACAAGTTGATGAGAAGAGTGACATTTATAGTTACGGGGTGGTGTTAATGGAGATTATAAGTGGTAAAAGGTCAGTCGATGCTGAGTTTGGGGATGGTAACAGCATTGTTGATTGGGTAAGGTCTACGATAAAGACTAAGGATGGTATTAGTGACATCTTGGACAAGAATGCTGGGGCATCCATTGCATCTGTGAGGGAAGAAATGATGCAAATGCTTAGAATTGCTTTGCTATGCACCAGCCAGAATCCGGCAGACCGACCATCGATGAGGGATGTAGTGTTGATGCTGCAAGCAGCCAAGCCCAAGAGGAAATTGCCTGGAAGTATAGTTAGTGTTGGTGGTGGTGACCACATAGTTACTGCTGATGGGGCTATTGCTCAAAAGCATGCAGTTGAATGTTAATATGATTAATTTTACCGGTTTTATCTTCCTTTTCTTTTTCCTAAATGTTATTTTTCAAATGGCGGGGATTGGTATAGGAGAAGTGATTTTTCTTTTCTTTTCCTTTCATATATTTTCAATGGAATTTTCAAGTGTTCTTGTTCTAGTTTCTTTAATGTTATATTGCGCTATGACCTTTTGTTGTGTGACACTTATAATAATTAATTAAAGTTAATGATTGTTAGTATGGAAAGGCATGGAGGGTGGGGTCAAAAGTATCCAAGGACAAAGGTTTTTAGCATGAAAAGTCAACCAATGTATCTGGGAGCAGGGATTGATTGTTTAATAATGTATTAAAATAAAATTTAATTTAAAAAAAACATTAAATTTTCATGAAACATCGTTTTTACATACTCAAATTTACCACATAAAATTACCCAAAAGGGGGGGGAGGAGCAGAGAGGAACAAGCTCCCGAATGACCATACAATTCATATGGGTGAGCACCACTAACCTGAGATTTATTGATATCTAAATAATGGATGCAGGGAGGATTTGTTTGAATTTGAACGTTCGAAATAGATTCTCGTAGGAAGGGAAAAGAGGGATTGTCAATTTAAATCTAACAGTTTATTCATGTGAATGCCATGAGTACTTTCTTGCTTTCTGTAACATCTTCATAACTGGAAAAAGAAGAAAAGGACCGCAAAAACAAGCAGGGGGTCGATCAAGAACAGTAAGTTTTTTGTGAACTAGTGCTTGACCTAGCGGTGGAAGGGTTGTCCCCTTCCACTGCATCTGGGTTCGAGTCCTAACGTGCACGCCTATCATCCCCGCGGTGCTTTACATGTCTACTGGATTTGCAGGGTATTCAGTGGGCCGTGGGAATTAGTCGTGGTGCACGCAAGCTGGCCCGGACACCCCACGTAAATCAAATAAAAAAAAAACAGTACGTTTTCAAGTTATTATGAGATTCTTATGCAATAGTGAGGAGTAGAATATTTCGAAACCTTCACAGCAAAGTGGTTTAACTTTCCAAGGGTCCACTGTTATGCTGGAATGTTGATTATCTATATAAACCTGCAGAAGGTTACGCAGTCCCTTGAACCCTTGCATCTGCCGAGGCACCGAGGCACCATCTGTTGAGGTTACTTTGCATTTTTCCTCAGACTTCATTCGAAGCTCTAGGGTTGGTCTTAAGCCCTTGAGGCCCATCAGCTTTATACACTATGCTTGAGCCTGCACTATAGGGCCTGTGCTTCTCACGATTCATTCACAAGTCCACAATCATCTCTCATAATGTTGAAATAGTATGATACCATTGATCATGAAATATCAAATATCAAATGCTTGTTGAATCATGTGAATTGTGTAAAAATAGGATACTCTAAATCTGAGAATCCAAGAGTTTTATGTTCTCTATATATTTTAAAAAAAGTGAATGAAAAATTCCACTTGGCAAGCTATACCAAACTAATTATACATTTGTTTGGAGTTCACCTAATTAACATCAAACGAACATGGATGTCGGTGCCTCATCATTGTTTTCCCCCCCTATTTCCACAGCCCACGTACAAATAGTGGAAAAGGAATGGGACTGATCTCTTGTTCTAAACAGAGAAATATCAACGTAGCCTTGTCCTTTTGTCATTTAATCATGTCTTGAGACAGCTTCCTCTTCCTCTGAATCCTGGCCTATTTGCAAGAGATGTACTCTCACACTTTTCTCCCATGCCTGAAAGAGATTATTCACAAAGTAAATATTTAAAACATCAAAGAAAAAGTTTTTTTTTCTTTTTTTACCGTGTAAATAAACTTAACAATACTGACACAACTCAATTGAAATCAAGTTAGGGCTAGACACGTTCGTTGGACACTCGAACCCCTTTGAAACCTCTTACCCGAACTTGAATATGTGGATTCAAGTCCAAGCGCCTGATTTCACATAATTAGCCGAAATTGGGTCCAGCTTCAGATTTTTCTGTAAGCGGTCAAATATCACTGTGTCAGTGGCTCAAAAAACCCAATTTCGAAACGAATTCAGGCATAAGGCCGGCTCGTTTTAAGAAATTAATTTGAGGTTGTTTTCGTACTCGCTATTGACGAGGTATTATTAAGGAATAAAGGAAGATTATGATATAAAATACTATAGGAAGTTCTAAGGCAGCAGCTCTTGTAAGCTCACCACTAGTTTAGCAACTACGGTTATTGTTTTCTCCATTTCCTCCAAGCTTTCATCTTGATTTTGCAGTGTGCTCGAAAGCTCTGTAATCAGATAAAGGACTTTCTCGACCTGTTGAACAATGTATTATTGAGTATATGCCACACGTAAATAATCATATCAGCCCAGGAAAAGAAGACACAAATTAACCTGGGAGAGGAATTTATTTATGGTCCCTTCTATGCTATCCATGACCTGCGCTGCATTGCTAATAGCTATGTAGACTGATTCCACATCTCCCTGTTGAGGAATCAAGAAATTAATTTTCGGAAAAGAGTTTAAGTTAAACAAATTAAGTAGACACCTCTCTAATCATGAAATACCTTAGCATCTTCTTCAAGAGGGAGTTTGACTGACAATGCTGATAGTTTCCTTGTCACTCTGCCTACTGCTTCAAAGTTTTTACCCTCTAATTTTGCCCATTCACTAAGCAGTTTCATTTGTGGGTTGATAATTTGACACAATTTGACCTCGTGCTTCAGCTTTCGGATTTGAATTCGCTTTTCTAGTATGATATTTCTCGTGTTGACGATTCTAAGCCAAACATGAAATAATTTATCCTGGAAAGCAAGTAGAGATGGAAAAAGTTAGAACATGGATAATTACACTAATCTGGAACTAAGATTGAACAGCTGAATCGAGTTGCAATGAACAATAGCAGCAAACTTCAAATGTCAG